GAATTTGTCTAAAAAATCTAATTTTTACAATATAATACGATTTGTTCACTCCCTGATGAGGGTTGGGTTTAGGGGTGGGGTTTGGTGCCATGCCTCCTTTTAAAAATCCTACATTTTATTAGCCACTAAACGGACAAAACATAAACTAGCTACGTTTCCACATGAGATGTTACCTTTGAAGGGTCTCTGTGTACCTTCCAGATCACAAATCTTAACATATAGACCATTTTAAGGGATGTAAACAATAACAATGGTCCTAATGCATTTCCTGTTTTACATTTTTAATTTCCATAATTATAATTAAGAATCCTGAGAGGTTCACATATTGATAAGTAACATTATGACAGCTGTTGAGATATGATTGAATTGCCTCTTGTTACAGTTATTAAAATAGTTTGACAACAATAAGGAGGAGTTTATGGGCCAATGGCATCACCACATTGAAATGGTCTATAATCAACGTTAGATAACGTCTAAATAACGTTTCAGGAGAAAAACAGCTTCATGAACAATGTACAAAAACACATTATTAATAATGACCAGATAACTTTCAGGTGTTCTACTTACTTCACTGGAGGTCATAACGTTAAGAGAGCATTGCTAGAACGTTAGCTGGGTACAATTTTTAAAATTATGGGTTACACACAATCCATGTTTCAAAATCGATATTACGCTGTAAAAAAAAAAAAAAAGTTGACTCAACTCAAAATTTTAAGGCAACTGGCTGCATTTGTTTTTTTTTTAGTTGACTCAACTTTCAACCTAATTACTGCACTTGGATTTAAGTTGAGTAAACTCAAAAATGCCCTGAAGCTGGTTGTTTTAAGTTGAGTCAACTTTAGTTTTACAGTGTAGTTTTTACAAATTAAAGTGGATTGAACATAAAACAAGTTGTCACAAAAAAACTCAAGAGTTGTGTTGTTTCAGCTCATAATAATTAAGTAAGTTTAACAAACAGCAAATTTCACTGTAAAAAGTAATTAGTTCCTTAAAGCAAGTAAACCAATTGTCTTTATTATATTTGTTTCCCTTCAGCTTTCCTGCACTGTAAGATGTGATTACTTACTTAAAGCCAGTAAACCAAGAAAACAAGTTGACGTTAACAAAAATAAACACATTGTAACTTGAAACTGTTAAGCTGACTTATTTATATAATTATGCTTTTTGTACTTACTTTTTTTAAAGTCAACTAATCCTTTTTTACAGTGTTAGACTATTTTACCACATTTGTTTTCAAATAATTACTGCAATTATTACAATGTTACATATTTGGTGCTTCATTAAGTCTATAAAATCTACAATAATCTCTACATAATAATAAAAATTAAGTCAACTTAACAGTTCCAAGTTAAAAAGGGTTTACTTGCACTATGACTTTGTAAAGTCAACTTGTTTCTTTTAAAGCAATTGGTTTACTCGTTTTAAGTAACTAATCGCTTTTTACAGCGTGTATCTAGCAGAATGACCTGCTCTTCCAGACTCCAGTGTGTCCTCTGAATTTTATGCAGACTATAAATGTAGATTTTATAGATTTAATGAAGCTCCATATTTATAATATTGTGATAAATACAGTAATTATTTGAAAACCGAAGTGCTAAAGTAGTCTGAAACTGTAAAAAGGGATTAGTTTACTTGAAAAAAGTAAGTACAATTAGCATTATTATAAAAACATTTAGTCAACTTAACCGGTCCAAGTTGTAATGGGTGAACTTTATTTTTGTAAAATCAGCTTGTTGCTTTTAAGGCACTTGGTTTACTCGCTTAAAGTAACTAATTACTTTTTACAGTGTAATCCCTTTTAAAAGTGTCAGACTATTTTAGGACATTCTGTTTTAAAATAATGACTGTAATTACAAAATTGCATATTTGGTGCATCATTAGGTCTTTAAAATCTACATTTATAGTCTGTGTTGAATTTAGAAGACACACTGGAGTCTGGAAGAACAGATTTATTTTGCTGTATGTCATTTTGCTAGATATAGAAATGCTGAAAAAAAATATAATAAAGGTGTATTGGAGAAAAAAAAGTGATTGGTTTACTTTTATAAAAAAATAAAATAAAAAAAAAGAGTACAATTAGCATAACTATAAAAATCCGGTCAAGTTGACAGTTTCAAATTGCAATGGGTTTACTTGCATTATTATTGTATATTCAACTTTTTTTTTTTTTTTTAAGGCAATTGATTTACTTGCTTTATAGTAACTAATAAATTTTTACAGTGTGTATACAATAAAAAAATGCAATGCAAAACTGTTGCAAACAATTTATTTGTGTTGAATTTAAACAAACAAATTAAATTTTTATAAAATTCTGTTTAATTTGTTTGTTTAATGCAGCCCAAATAAATAGTTTACAGCTACTTAACGTAAAAAAAAATATTAAATCTAAGGAATCATTTCTGAATATTTTTTTTCAGTGAAGGAATTAAGTTAAATGATTAGTTTTTACAAAATTAAGTGGATTGAACATAAATAAATTAAGTTACCACCCCCAAAAACCTCATGTATTGTGTTGTTTCAGCTGAATTTAAATAAGTAGTTTGAACAAACAACACATGTCATATTTGCAGTGAATATTTGCAATGTTTTATATATATTTTTTCTCAATTATGGTCTCAGATCTGTCTGAACTACTAAAAAAAGTGCCAAAATGATTTCTCTTCATATTTATCCATCAAATCCATCATAAAACAAATATCGAGACTTTGCATGATATCTTTCATCCATGCACTGACTGAATTGTACATTTAATTTTATTTTATTTTGTATATTATTTTATTCTTTTTTTCAAAGAGACTGAATGATTTGTGAATGAAGTGAGGATACAGCTATTAAAATACATTATCACTTATTTAATTTGTCTATTATTGCTCGTTTAAAGTGGACCTATTATTCCCTTTTTTTATAAGATATCAAATAAGTGTCCCTATAGTGTGTTCAGCTCAAAATACAACAGAGAAAATGTTTTATAACATTCTGAAATTGACCCTTTTGGGTTGTAATCCTAATTGTGGAGTTTTGGTGCCTGTCGCTTTAAATTAAAATGAGATTGTGCTCTTTTCAAAAAAGGGCGGAGCTACAAATGCCTGTGTGTCAGCATAGTGGCAGATTCAAAACTCTAATGGTGGAAGGCTGCTTCTTGCTCAGGGCTGTTTATGCGTATGAGGGAGAGATGGTCACTAGTGGGCGGGGCTTTCTTAATCTGATGACACGTACAAAGGGAGAATGTCTATCAAAGTTTTTCTGCCGACTGTTTTTATCAAGTGTGATTACAAAAAAATGTATTAGCTAATTTTGACCATTAGAAGCTGGTTATATTCACACACTGCTGCCACACAACTGTGTTTAAACCTCTTATAAAAATGCTTTGTGCATAATAGGTCCCCTTTAAATTTGAATTGAATCCATGCATTCACTTTTAGTAATTTTTCATCATTTCCTTTCGACCGAATCTTTCTGCAACGTAAGATTACTTGAATTATGACTTGATTATTCGGGATCGTTTTTTTGAAGTGAAGTCCTGTGCCTTTGAATGTTAATTATGTGTTAGATGTGGAATGTAAAGTGTTGATGAATAGAGCTCTCTCTCTCTCTCTTTTTCTTTCTTTTTTTTTTTTTGTATAAACCGTAAGCGCACTTTGAAGATATTTATACAGAACTAGATAGACATGTCAGACTATTGACCGCGTATGCTACTGAATGCCACTTTACGATTATTTGTTTTCAACATTTCTTTGTTTCTGTTGACTGAAAAAGATCCCGATTTGACATTTGAGACTTTTTGACCTCTTCTGTTGTTAGTATCACGAATTTCAAGATCTTTGGGAGACAAGTATTGTTGAATGTAAGTTGTGCTCGTGTTGTGCATTGGTTTTAATAAAATCGTTCTTGTGAAATTTGGGCTTTGAGCAATTAATTAATTCATTAATTGTTTATGTTGGTGCTTTTTAGTCGTATTAAGTGAGATTCATTCATTCATTAATTTTCTTGTCGGGTTAGTCCCTTTATTAATCCGGGGTCGCCACAGTGGAATGAACCACCAACTTATCCAGCAAGTTTTTACGCAGCAAAAGCCCTTCCAGCCGCAACCCATCTCTGGGAAACATCCACACACACATTCACACACACACTCATACACTACGGACAATTGAGCCTACCCAATTCACCTGTACCGCATGCGTTTGGACTGTGGGGGAAACCGGAGCACTCGGAGGAAACCCACGCGAAGGCAGGGAGAACATGCAAACTCCACACAGAAACGCCAACTGACCTAGCTGAGGCTCGAATCAGCGACCTTCTTGAGGCGACAGCACTACCTACTGCACCACCGCATCGCCCCTGATTTAGTATCTTTTTTGTAGTTATATAAAACACACATACACATTATATAATATTAATCGTTTATAGGTACATATATCTTTAGGTACATCTAGCTTGAAGTACATATGTACACAAATTGAGCATCATCCAGTATATTCATTAATTCATTTTCCTTCGGCTCCCTTTATTCATCAGGGGTTGCCACAGCGGAATGAACCGCCAACTTTTCCAGCATAGGTTTTTACGCAGAGGATGCCCTTCCAGCTGCAACCCATCGCTGGGAAACAACCATACACATTCTCATTCAAACACATACACTACTGATTCACCCTTAGCGCATGTGTTTGGATTGTGGAGGAAACCCACGCCAACATGGGGAGAACATGCAAACTCCACAGAGAAATGCCAGCTGACCCAGCCGAGGCTCAAACCAGCAACCTACTTGCTGTGAGGCCATCGTGTCACCCTACTGTCATTATGGCAAAGATAAAAGAAATTAGTTATTAGAAATTAGTAATAAAATTATTATGTTTGGAAATGTGTAGAGAAATAGGAAAAAATATCATAATTTAACAGGAGTGCTAATAATTCTGACTTCAACTGTATATAATATAAACTTTATAATTAGTTGAGTCAGTGCGCTGTAATTCTTCACTCGACCTTTGGGTGTCGCTGTTTCATCAGCTCTGATGTATTTCTGCGTTTCCCATCAGCCGCATTCAGGAGAAAGCCAAACCGACTATATCAACAGCAGTACTGCGGGTAAGTCAACACAAACTCTACTTTCACCAGATAAAATGAGCTAACTCTATAAAACAAAGCTTTACCTGGTACAAAACTATGAATTACGCAAGTAATTAGGTTATGTTTCGATTAGTGCAGGTTATCAAGACTAAATCACCTCAATAACAACATCCGTCAGTCACTCTGCTGATCTGGACAAACTGATCTACTGCACGTCTCTCGCTTCATGTTTTAAAACTTTTTTATTCACAATTTATTATGCTTTAAT